AAGGAGATCGACAGACTTTCTTTCGCATGTATAATATTAGTATGGATTTGGGTACTAAAACTACTTAATTATATTTTGACTAAAAGAAATCACCATTTCCAAAAGTATTTTCAAAGTAATTGAACAACAACAAATTTACAAAAAAAAAAAATTGAATAATTTCAATTAACAAATCCATTAAAAAAGACAAATATTATTGATTTATAATTGACGAAGAAACGCGAAAATAAAACAACCGAATTGAATACTTCCTCCTATTCGAAGTCGGTCAATGAAGCAAAAGAAGTAGTAATATGGAACATCACACATTTTTATGATTTTCATGTCAATATGTAATACACAATAATGTAAGGAATCATCATAAAAAAGCCCAATGACAGCGTCTTACAAGGCGGCGTGAACTGAGCGACCCGCTGGGATGATATTACACGGCTCAAAGGCATAAAGTCCCGGGTTTGTTTTACGCAGCGTGTGGCAAGTTATTGCGAGACTTTTTATGATTTAGATATTGAAGCAACGTAAATAAAACTGGGATATTCAAGTCAAAATATAAATTTATTTAATCGATTCTTCTACATCAATATTCCCTCCACGACCGCGGACACGCCGGCGAGTCAGTTAATAATAGATTTCTTAGAATTTTAATTAATTTCTTAGAAATTTACCTGGAGGTGATATTATATAGAGATAAAGTTTGTAAGTTTGAAACAACTGATCCGATCCTGAAAATCCACTAGTGGGAACATTTTTTATTTTGATAAAATGTGTTTACTGTCTATATAAATAATAATATATTTAATTGTAATCGGAAGAAACCCGACCGTTGAGTTCCTTTATCAGCGCTCCCTGCTTTAGCGCTTTGAAATAAAGCAATAAAACGTATAGCAAAAATACACCTCAGGACGCACCCAAGTGAAGCTACAAGCAAGTACATTACTAGTTGTTAATATAAATATAAAGATACACATTAAGTCTTAAGTAATGTACATAAGTGGTCACTAATTTGTTTTTGTTTTCTCTACGTCGATCTCTAACCATTAGGTTATTCTAAGCCTATAATGCTAAAGCAATTTCTCTTACCATCTATAACACTCGTATATAACAATTGTGTTATTTTTTAAAATATATATAAATTTTTTTTAGGAATTGAACTTTTGCCTTTATAATTGTACACTGCATAACCAAAAAATATTTTCTTATAAAATATATCTTATAAGTTGTTAGTTGTTAAAATCAATAAAAAAGTATTCATTTTTATAAAAAAAAATAACTTTTCTATAAAGTACCATCTTGTCGTTATAGATGCTGTATATTTTATTACAAGTGCAAACCAAATACCTACAGTCTAGCTTCTTGCTCTCAATTACAATGCAATAGGAAATAATCTGCGACGGTGGCACTGAATATATTCTCGGGCTGACGATTCTACTTTGTATATACATTATTCAAACATTTTTTATAGCTGCCTTGATACGTGCTGTTATTTCTGCGGAAGCTTCATTCTGAATGTTTTCATTTCGTCGTGCGAATTGTCTTTTCATTTTATAACTGATTTTACGTTTTCTGACTTTGATTTTGTTACACGATTAAGTCACGAATGAATTATTTTATTTAAATGTAGGATAATCATTTTCAATTAAAAGAACAATATTGTTTATTTGTGCAAGTTGGGGAAGACATATTATGCATAAATTACAATTTACAATTTAATCATATCCCGTTCGACTGCGTTCCCGTGTGATATTGTTTGTCTGTTTGTACGGGCTAATCTCCGAATCTATTGGACCGATTTAAATGAAATTTTGCATGGTGGTACCTTATATCCCCGGACAACGTCTTAGATATTATTTATCCCGGAAAATAAAATGGTTCCCGTGGGATAGTTATAAAACTATTATAACTTATACAACTTATGCACCTAATTTAGTAAAATTTAACATTCTGATACCTTATATTGCCGGTCAAACAACCGGTTACTTTTCATCTGGGAAAAATGAACGGTTCCCGTGGGAACTAATAGATTTTTATTAGTGTTGAGGCGTTGAGGCGAGGCGAGGAACGACATTGCGGAAAACTGAAATCTGATAATTTAAGGTCACTAGGCAAAGTCGGACCCAACACAGAAAAGTGTTTAGATAAGAAAAGTTCTTTCTCAGATATTTTTCGCTAAATTGAAAAACTTTATATTCCAAATAGTTTATCTCTTAAGTAGCAATTCTCTTGACTTTTTCGTTAGCAGAATTTAAACCGTTATGCGCAATTTTTTTATTTTTAGATGATATAAAACTAACTTTTTGAGTGATTGCCGTGAAAATACTAAATATAAACTTAAATTTTGAATAGATATTTAAATAGACTTTTACAAGCACTTTGGAATTGTCAATTTAACAGATGATGTTTCTAAGAAGTTGAGGAATGAGGAAAAGGAAAAAGGAAGAAGGAGGAAACTTAATAACCTAGTACAAAAGTTTTGTATCTAAAGCATTAAAATTTTAAAATAAATAAAATTGCTTATACTTATTTTAACTTGATAGTTCCTGTATTAAAGTGAAATTGTCTAAGCGACCTTTTTTCTTGCTTTTTTTTTTTTTTTTATTCTCATTTAAAGAGCTGAGTCACTTGGGCGACTATGTTGCTCTGGTAGGTTACACAAATATTCTTATCTATACATTAGTTATAATATTATTTAGTTTCGCTTACTTATGTTATGTTTACCTATATTATACATAATTTTGGCTGACTCTGAAGTAGGATTTGCTAGATATATATTACATATTCCAATTGATCTATCTGCTAATTGTGATAAAAGGGGTTCGCTTCGAGCACATTCCATTAAAATATGGTACACATCCTCTATAACTCCGCAATCGGGACAATTAGGAGAAAGAACTTTCTTCATTAAATACCCAAACTTATTTAATGGAATGTGTCCGGAGCGCAGTCTCAAAGCCATCACAATATCTTCACGTTTGAAATTACACATATCTACCCAAGAATAGTAACAAGGTTGTGGTTGAATCGTTTTGTACCATATGCCTTTTTCTTTAGACCTCAAGTCAAAATACTCTTTCCAAGCATCTAAACATTTTTCTTTTATCAAATAAAGACAGTCTGTATAGAAAGGTAACATATGAATTATATCTCCATCAGTGCAGGCCTGTCTGGCAAACTGATCGACCTTCTCGTTCCCAATAATTCCAATATGAGAAGGAATCCACTGCAAAACAACTGATTTTTTCAAGGACTTCATTTTAAGAATCAATTCAATGATAGTATTGGCTATCGGTGTTCCTCGAAAAGTCGAGGTGCAACGAGCCAAGTGTTGTAATGAACTTTTTGAATCAGTAAGAATAATAAATTTATTAAAATTAATTGTCTCAATATAAGATAATACTTCAGCCAGAGCAATAAGTTCTGCGTACATTATTGAAATTTTGTAATTATTTTTAAATCTCATATTAGTTTCTGTTTGGGGATCATAAAAAGCAATTCCCGTTTCATTGTTATCCAAAGATGCATCAGTAAATAATTTATAATAGTTAGGATATTGTGAATTTAAATAATTTAAACATTTTATTTTAATATCAAGAGAATTATACGAGCGTTTTGCTTTCTTAATGTGAGGTATATCTATCTTAATATGTGGGTCCAAGTCGATTTTTGAAGTCCAAACATTTAAATTAAACATTTCTAGTTGTTTGCTTCTATGAACTGATATATTTTGAATTTCATTAAATAACATAATTAATAAAGGCTTTTTCTTTCTGTTCCAATATGAATTTTCAAATTGAGATGTATATTCACTAAGTAGAGAAATAATACTGTTGTTTTCTAAAGATTTTGCTTTTAACAAATATTTTCCGCCTAAGTAGCGTCTACGAATAGCTAAAGGCGGTAAACTTAATTCACTCTCCATCACATGTATAGGAGTTGTTCTTATAAACCCACCGATAACTCTCATACATTGGTTTTGAATTTGATCTAATTTAGACAAATGTGAGCGCGGGCCGTCATCGAACAAAAAACTCGCGTATTCAATTCTACTTCTTAGTATAGAAATGTATAACTTTTTTAAATACTTTGGATGGATACCCCAGCCAGAACCAGCTAAAACTTTAAATAAATTTAAAAACTTCGAAACTTTATCTCTTACACTACTTACATGAGTTCCCCATTTTAATTTTCGATTCAACCACAACCCTAGATATTTTACATTTTCTACTATTTCTAAAGAAACACTGTCTATTCGAAGGTTAATAGATTTACTAATGTGAGCTCTGTTAAATATGCATATTTTACTTTTGAAAGGGGAAATACTTAAACCTAATTCATCAAGCAATGCAGTGAAAATGTTCAAAGCTGATTGTAAATCATTGGTAGCGATATTCAAGTTCTTATTTGAAGTATACAAAACAAAATCGTCTGCATATTGTGAGATAAAAACATTTTTAATAGACTGGCATATGTGAGCTGTCGCAATATTAAATAGTAAAGGCGATAAAGGATCTCCTTGAGCTAAGCCCTGGCTACAACATCTAGTTAACGATAACGTATCTAAATGAATATTTAGAGATCTATGATTAAGAAAATTCCATAAATAATTGCATATTTTTGATCCCACCCCATAATTGTCCATCAAAGTTAAAAGTTTAGATATATCTATGTTATTATATGCTCCATCAATGTCAATGAAACAACAAGAGGTAGAATTGCCTAGTCCAAATCCTTTTTGTATACATAAAACTAGTTTGCATAAGTTATCTAAACAAGAATGAGCTTTCCTGAAACCCGTAGTATCTACAGAGAAGGTATTTGATCTTTCAAAATACCATTCAAGTCTTTTGTTTAGGATTGAATGAAAAACTTTACATATACAGGACATTAAAGATATAGGTCTTAAAGATGATACTGAGTGTGGATCACGTCCAGGTTTCGGTAAAGGAATAATAGCTATCTCTCGCCACTGCTTTGGAACTATTCCATCTTTGAGAAATATGTTAAAAAGATTCAAAAGCCAATCTTTTTTTACCACTTTCAGGTAAGTTTTTGATCATTGAAAATGAATTCATATCTACTCCCGGAGCCGTATCTTTTGATTTGATAGAAACTTCTAATTCCTTTCTAGAAATTGATGTTTCTAAATAGTAGTTACTCGATCTAAATGTAGGACAATTATTAACAACAAAATCAGGGGCAAGACTTTGAAGGAGGTCCCTTGCACTATCACTACTAATAAAAGATTTTTTAGAATATCTCCCTTTTATCCATTTCATTCGAAACCACATTTCGTTTATTGAAGACACTTCACATAAACCATTACAAAAATTTTGCCATGATTTTGATTTCGACTGACGTAATATTCTTTGAGCTTCACCTACTTTATTTTGTAAAATATCAAGGTTATTTGGCGTTGGGTTATCTCTAAATACAACAAGTGCTAGACGTCGTTCAGCTATAGACTTCGAAACAATCATATTCCAAAATGGTTTAGGTTTAAAGACATTACTAGGGTTTAGGATAAATTTAATAAAAGGGATATACTTGTCTGCTGCACGGTTCATACAATCAAGCAACATATCGTACCCCAATTGCGCGTTTACGGGAAAACCGAGATCATTCAGTGACGAATTGATTTCGGAACGATATGGCTCCCACTTACCTAATTTAAAGTTCCGCTTTTTTACAAAGTGATTAGGAGGTACGCTGTAATTTAGAGTTAACTTAATTATTAGATGATCACTTCCTAGGGACTCGTTTGTTACAAACCATTCACAATTTAAGGCAATGTCCGATGATACTAAGGATAAATCCGGAGAGGATTTTTGCAAATTATTATTTACAAATTTAATACGGGTTGGTAAACTACTATTATTGAGGATTACGTAGCGGCTATCTACAAGTGAATCAAAAATCTGAATTCCTCTTCTATCTGTTCTATTTGACCAGCTATGATGATGGCCATTAAAATCACCTAATATTATAGATCTTTGCGTGATTATTGAAAAAATTTCATCCCAATTACTTTGCGAGGTTCGTGCGGATGGAGGGCAATATAAAGCATAAATACTTTCAAGATTATTACAATTATGAATTTTGACACGTAAAAGTTCAATATCTGAATTACCTATATTAAGTTGGCAAACCTCCGTTCTAACAGAATTATGAGAAATAATAGCGACACCTCCATATCCATCAGATCTATCATAGCGATAAATGTTATAACCAGAGATTCTTATATCATCTCTCTCATTCAACCACGTTTCACTAATCACTGCAATGTGAATTTTATCCCGATTTAATAGTAGCTCAAAGTCACTTAATTTAGGTTTAAAACTTTGTGCATTCCACTGCAAAATATTAAGTTTAATATAGCTTCCAAATGGTAAATTATCCATCTACAGATTCAAATATATTTTTGAATATTGGTACTCTAAAACTTTGGTCTTACATAAAGAAATCAGCCACTCCCATATAATTGCTAAAGCTTCTGTAATTTTCTCCTTCAGAGATATTCTACGTATAAATATAATGTTTTTCAATTTTTCTAAAAGTTGTTTAAATGATATATGGTCGCTATTATTTTTTTGTTCTTCCTTTGAATAATTTGATGTCACCTCAATATTTACTTCCGAATCCGATGATATATCCCAATCCATTGTGTTTCGTGATTGACTATTTTTTTTTTTTTGAAATATTTTTCTTTTTACATTTTGTTCTTTTATTTTTATTTTCGACACTATTTATCTTCTTAGCGGACTTTACTACTTCTGAATAGCTTTGTGGTTGATTCATGACTGTAGCAGGCTCCGGGTTTGAACTAAGTGCAGGAAAATCTACATTTATGTCCAGATTATTTTCTTTTTCTGGTTGAGGAGATGGGGGCACATACATCATAGTTGCTCTTCTAAAAGTACAATTACACTGCCATTAACTGTCTGATTCTTTTTTCCTTAAGGAATACTGGACATGTTCGTACTAGCGACATGTGTTTCCCACCACAATTAATACATTTAAACTGGTTTGTTTCACAATTATTATGATTCTTTGTGCACTTGGGGCATATAATACTTTTTGAAGGACAAAATTTATGAGTGTGGCCAAATCTCCAACATTTGGAGCATTGCGTCACAGGGAATATGTATGGTTCGACCTTTACCTTTAAGCCATATATGAAAATATGTGGTGGTAAGGAGGAACCTTTAAAACAAAGGCGAATCGTTTCACTTTCAGTCCAACCAGGGATTTCATCATTTCTACGAAATAATCTTTTAACTGATATTATCTCTAAATCCGACGAAATGCTCAATTGTACATCCTTTTTAGACAGATCTAACTCAATATCTCTGATAATGCCATAGGAAAATCCGACTTCACTTGTTTTGTAGCATTTCCAGCCTTTTTCCTGCAACGCTGTAGAAGTAATCATTTTTTCTGCATCGCTTTCTTCTTCAAATAAAACAAAAATTTTATAAGGTGTTGCATATTTAACTCTTATTATATTTAATATATTGTGTTCTTTCAAAAACCTCGCCAATTCTATCTGCTTAGGAATTTTTTCTTTACTTGTAATACAGACTTCTATTTTATCATCTATTTCTTCTAAACTTTTTTCTGATAAATTTCTACGATACTTTCTTTTGCTATTTCTAGACACTAAAGTCCACATTTCCGTGTCATCCTCATCTCGATATCTTTTTTTTGTATATAGGTTTGTATTTTCTTCAGTCTCCTCCACTCGAAATAATTCTTCATTTTCATTATATTGTTCTACTTCGCTCCTATTCTCCATGCTATTTAGCACGGGCGACGTGCTATTTGCGATATTATTCATAATAATTATAAAACATAATATTGTTTACGTAAACTGTCCACTAGAATGCCCGTTAGTGCAAAATGCACACGGCTAGCGGGCAAACCGGTTTCTTATCTCAACGCGTAGCAGTATAATTATTACTTGCAAAAAACACGACCGTGCCGCATAGGGTCTTCCACGCAACTCCCTTTTTCTTGCTTGAATAGAAAAAAAAATAATTACTATCTTTATTACCTACCTGCATCTTCTAGTGGTCAGTATGTTTTGAATTGAAATTTGATTTCCATTTATGTAAACACCGGAACTAAATAATGATTTATTACAGTGACGTCTAAATATAGTACTATCCAATAACCGATAAGTATAAATGTATTCGATTGTCTTGTTTTATTTCATAACTAGCGACTCTTTCAAATTGATATTTTGTCTTCAGACAGTAAGAAATCTTTAAACGTCTGAGATCAATGTATGTAATGTATCAACTTAAGATATGAATTTCGAAGAATTCTCTTCTCATTTGCTCAAAAAATGTAAACATACGCGACTGAGTTGTTAGGCAATATTCTGTTACTGTCATTTATTGTTGTCTATACAGATAAATAAAATTGAAGTGTCTGTTTGTAATTTCAAAATAACAGCATTTTACTAAATGCAAATGAAATTATATACGGTACTTGTAAGAAAAACACACTTTTTTTTAATTTTTGTCTGTCTATCTGTATTTTTGTTCCGAATAATCTCTGCAACGGCTCTGATTTTGACGAGACTTTCACTGGAAGATAGCTGATGTTATAGGGAATAACATATGGTCGATGATGAGAGTATATAGGTATCTATTTATTCCATACTAACCGTTAAAACGTACCTAGGGACGAACCCGAGCGAAGACATGGTAAGTCACTAGTTTATATTATATAAGTAAACACAATATATTAACCATAACTCAATCATTCCAGTTTTATTTCAATAAAAATAGTAACTGAAGATATTATATTTAATAGGTTGTAATACTAAACTGTCCGGTACAAGTTGGGTTTTGAAATGTCTAAATTGGACGGCGGTCCATACTTCAATAGATATTGTCCTCTGACGCATTTTACCCTTTAGATATTCTTTGATAGAATACTAAAGCTTACTGAACAATTTATTTTTCAACTCACAATAAAAATACTACACGTTTTTAGCCCCTAGTAGAAATATAATAAAAAAGTATTAACATTACAAACCTAAAATACACCCTGACCGTAAAGACTTCGAGTACGCAGAATTTGGCGTAATTGGTCACCAATCGAACTCTACCCACAATACGCCATACTGTCGTACATAATATCAATTAATATAAATCTGAAACGCAATCCGTAGCTGTATTTTATAGCTTTGCAAAAAACACCGTTGTTTACGTTCTCTTATGAAATCCGTTAACCTATTTTCCATTGCATGCATTTTATTGGGTTCCTCGTAAATAAAACCAGCAAAGAATACAACGGTCGTCTATAAAGCACTATAGCAATAAGGATAAAATTGATTGAATATATTTGTAACATATTCCAAAGAAAAAAAAAAACAATTATTTAAAGGGAACGCTTTACTTCAGTCACTGTCTACGGCTACACATATTACTACTTTTTTTTAATTCCAATCTGAATTAGTGCTTGACTACGTTCCACTTGATGGTAAGTGGTAACGTAGTCGTAGATGGTAAGTCGCACTAATTCAGTAACCACCTATTCACTCTTGCCTCGAAGACACCCATATTATAATCGGACGGAAACACCGACGCAGGCAGGTTATTCCCATCCTTAGCCGCACGTATAATAAATGACGTCGCGAAACTCTTCGTATTCTTCGCTTCTTCTTACTATTTTCGTATCAAGCATTCCTCAAACTTAAATTAAAAATGTTCAATGAACACATTTTCGCCTTATAGTACCAGGATTTGGGATGGAGGTACTTGCTATAATAGTAAAATCTTGATAGCTTCGGTTGTAAAAATAAGTTGCTTTTGGTTCGAAACACGCGTTTTCCCAGACATAAGACTAATATTTATTATACTAATATTTATATAATTATTCTTGTATGTGTATATATATATATACAAGAATTGCTCGTTTAAAGATATAAGATTTTTAGTGTAATAACGTTACACACTCTCCACTACGTGACAATAATAATATTTCTCGGCGCAGGACGGACAGCATCAGAATTATTCAGTATAGTTGGCGAGAACTTAAATAATGTATTTTAACGAATACAGTAGATTTAATGAGCTAAGTCAATTACATTTCACACACTCAGAACTAAGAAACAATGTTCACAAAATAAAGCACAAAGTAAACGTTACACAATCAATAATGATAAACAACTTCAGAAATAAGTAATTCGTCGTCTATGCGATCCACATCCGACATTCCTTTTATTATTTCTCTAATAGTCAACTTTATTCTCTATTTTAATTTCTTTTTAAAACCTGCCAGTTTGTATCACCCTGCTACCATCGCTTCGACGCTTTACTAGAGTGTGCTGTGGAAGCCTGACTTCACACTCTAATCCGATGAGCTCGCCGTCATATATATTACTTTATGATTATATACAATAATATTAAACTTCAATACAATATAACATGATCTCATCTTTGTCTACATAACTCTTATCATGTTCCTTCTTCCTCCTTCCTAGACAAATAATATTATAATATACACACTATATATGTCTTTAGATATGATAAGATAATATTTATAAGAAAAGCAAAAAATACAACAGTAAAGACGGTAACGATATATAAAAATATTTAACACCAAAATCTTGCTTATTCAAAAATAAGATAAAGTTAAGCAGCCTCACGTACAAGGAGCCTGCGAGACACTTTTAAAGAGATTCTGACTTTTATGCTATCCACACAAGTAATTTTCACAACAAAATGTAAATATTGTTGCGTAGTTGCGAGTGACGAATATTTACGTTATAACATCACGTCTGAACCATCCTCAATGATAATTGTCAACGGTAAAAAGTTTGTATTAAATTGTGTAGTGAAGAAAGAACAATTTTTAAAATCAAAAATTAGTTTCATATATTATTTGAGAACAATTTTGTATTAATCCTAAAAATTAAGAACAAATACAAAGAAGTGAACAGCATAAATAGAAGTATAGAGTACTAGCGGCTCACTCCCGCTTTGCTCGGGTTCGCCTCTAGAAAAACAAAAAGAAATCTGTCCTTCGGGAACCATATATTTTTTTGATAAAAAGTAGTTAGTATAGTGTTATTCCAGACTATAATATATCTCTGCGCCAAGTCAATATTTCATCCAGATCAGTTCAGTCGTTCTGGCGTAAAAGAGTAACAAACATCCATCCATACCCACAAACTTCCACATTTATAATATTTATTATACAGACTAGTGGAGGAATTATTTTTGATAATTTATATTTGTAAGTCGTCTTATGTATCTTCACGTATGTACGTGAACTTTTATAAGTATCTCTTATGCACGTAAGAGCAATATTACATCATAATAATTGCAAGTCATCAGCTTTAATTTCATATCCCAGAACGAAAGCTCGTAACAACATTTTCTTTTGCTGCTATGATATACCTATAATATTTACCATCTGTCATATTTTCAATCATTTTCATTACGATAACCACGCGCCTTACGGTGATGGAAAACATTGTGAGGAAATCTCCAGATCTAAGAGAACCTATCTAGTTTTTGAAAGATATATAAAACTAGCATTTCGGCCCGCGGCTCCGCCCGCGTTCAGATAACCAAAAACAAAATTCTTAAGTTTTACATATTAGTATACTCTTACATTGCAGTTTTTGTATTTTTTCTTAGAAATGAGATATTTTCCGGCAAACAGCTATCACCATACCAAATGTCATCAAAATCCCTCCAGTGGTTTTTCTGTGTTACGGTAACAGACAGACAGACAAAAATTCTAAAAAACATAGATTCGGCCTCTGTATCGATAATAATGTTTATTTCAATAAGATTTTCCAAAAAATATCGAATGTACAGATTTGGTTTAGTTACCATTTTTATTATATGTATTGATTTACCAGTTACTCACAGTGCTAGATTAGCACTGTAAACCTTGCCTTTGGCCTGATCACCCTCGTATTGAAGGCTTGTGCTCTGCAGTGGGACGTTAAATAGGGCTAAATACAATTATATTCATACCTGAGAATTTAAATTGTGTACATAGCATTATTATTTATTTCGCCAAAAAAAATTAATCTTAGAAGGCATTTTGAAAAATGAACGTTTCAAAATGGTCTTAATGTATGATAAAAGAGCAAGAAGGTAATCCATAAATATAAATTTATGGATTACCTTCTTTGTGAGGAATATTAAGTCGATGTCTTAAGATTATATATTAATCTATCTATGAACATTGTGATTAATTTAATTATCCTCAAAGTTCCCCACTCTCTTAGGACCTACGTGAAACTTTGTTAGATATCTCTTGTAATGGCACAAGGCATTTGAGTTCAGAAGTTTACTCTTTGTAGAATACTGATCCTAAGTTATTTGTGTGAACAAAAATGTAAGAAAGAAAAATATTATAGCAAAATATGGTATATATTTTCCAACTTTTATGTTAAGTATATTAATTTCATTTATCTAAGACAGTATAAATAGTAAAAAAATAAATTAACTATCAACCAAATTAGCTGGAGTGACATTTTTAATTGCTAATTATCCTATAATACTTTCTTCTTTAAAATGCTATTTATCCATCATACACATCTTCTGACCATTTTTGAAGACGCTGCAAAGACGTTTTTGCTGGTCACGGATAGAATAGAAGCATACTAAGTGAGAAGGTTCAAGGTATCTATAATTTAAACAGTTTCTCCTATCGTAGAAGAAGCTTATTTTCATAAACGTTATCAAATATTGCATACTACTTCTTAGATTTACGAGAGTATTTGACATTTTAAATTTAGTATGTGTATTCAATTATTACCTAGTACTATCTATTTGGTTGCTTTGGTTTATATACGATTTTATT